TTCTGACAGCCTCATCTACAGCATGCAAAAATATTGGAGTTCAATTTGAGCTTTTTACAAAAACAGCACCCCTGGTTCACCAGAAAAATGTCTGAATAGATTGTGATTGACTTGAGCTATGTAAACCCATTGTTTGCTTTTGATGAAAGAGGCCTATATAGCATTATAGATCTAGTCTAAGTGCATGTAAGCCTGCCTGTTTGCTTCATTAATATTCCTGAACAGGCTTCCAGCTACACACTGCACACTGATTAGCAAGGACATGACACACACTTTATATGTGGGCTCTGAAAAGAACACACAATTTCAAGCAATAAAAATATTGACCATATGGTTGAAAGTGGGTGTGCTGTTATGGTAATGCATTTTAATAAACTGGATGAAGACTGCAGAAGGAAAACACATAACAGAGACGGGTCATGAAGAGGAAGGGTTATTTTACATACATACACCATCAATAACTCAGCTGCTTGGCCCTTAGGGGCATACACATAAATGTGGACTGTCCATCACAGTATTTATGAGATAATGACTGCTGAATATGCGCATCCGTGTACATTGTATGGGTGAACAACCAACCTTATCCAGCCTTACTCATAACTCAAATTATTATTGCTTAATAGAGTGTTTGCTGATTAAAATACAGAGCTGTCAGTGCTTGTGAAAGGATGCTGGAATTACAAAACACCTACATGAGATGAGTGAGGGCTTTTTCAGCACAGAGCACTCGCCACCATTGTTAATCTCTATGTAAGCACAAGATCACAATGTAACACATTATTAACTAAGCTAAATTGATGGGTTAGGGTTAGGTGATTGTTGAAGCTTGGTTCTGTTACATGAAGGGCTACTTTAGCCAACATCTAAATGGAAATGAATCTCAAATGCTGAGCAGACAAATGTACTTTTGATAAGATGATGAGTTGAAAACTTGAAGGGTCTTTCTAACAAAGATTCAGAATGTCACTCATGAGGTATCTTGTGATAATTTCCCAAATAAATCCTTCCTCATTTAAATAAAAAATAGGTTGAATCACTATTAATTAAATACAACTATATCAAGTATAATTCTGGTCACGGTGTATATATATATGCTATTTATGTTCTAGTAGAATAAGCAATTATCATCATAAATCTAATCGATAGATTTATGATAATAGATTTACGATTCGAAATTATAAAAGTAGGGAGATTATCCGACTGAACAAAATGTGATCCGTCTCTTAAATGTGTGTCAACCACAGACCCTATTTCGAGCTATTTTCCAAAATCCTATGGAGAAATTGCATTGCTTTTCTGCCGAAGGAACCCATGCACAGCTTACTTACGGGTTTTAGGACGCGTCACTGTGGCACTCTATAGGCCAATGATAAAAGAATCAAATCAAGTTTTATTTATATAGCACATTTTTAAACGATTTTTGGTCGAGCCAAAGTGCTGTACATATAATAAAAAATAACCTACAGTAAAGACACTTTACAGCAAATACAACAGCACAGTTTGTGTAGAATATCAGTATGAGGGAAAAAAAGGAAGCCATCATTAGTCACATGACGGGGTTGCAAGGTAAGCTGTCAGTATTCTGTATAATTGGTTATGGATGCTAATAATAATTAGGAATATAACAAATGATAGAAGGCTTATGTGAAGGGTTGACAGATTGCTTATGGTCTTGTTTTTGTATAGGTATTTAGGAAGATATGGTTCAGGTATTTTTACAGGTGGCCTGATCTCTCTTTTAGCTCCATTTATAAATTCAGATGCCTTAATTAAAAGAACCCATCAATTATCTGCTGGTATTGAGTCATAAATAAAACAAAATTTTTCACGAGTGAATCCATGTAATAAGCAACACTGACTGAATTATTTAATTGTGATGATTTTCTACTTCTTATGTCCAACTGACTATTTCGTTTTGAGGTGTTTGGCAGAAGAGAAAAAACGTAGCTTTGGGAAACTTGGATTGGCCATTCTCACAATGTTTCTAATAATTAATAGACCATATGATTAATCAATTAATAAAGAAATTAACCATACATCTACGTATCGGGTTGATACATTTAGCTTGTTGTCCATACAGTGGGATGCTCATATCTTACAATCTTTATTGTTCTAATTATTCTTTATGTTTCCTACATGTTATCTCCCACCATTATCCCCAGCTGATCAGACTTTAACATCCAACAGAGCACATCGACATCATAACATGTACAAATAGGCCTCACAATCACACATGTCGAATGCCCTCAGCTCTCACTGCTGTGGGTCCATATGTCCCTGTCCTGTGCCTCCAATCAGTCAAGAACAAATCCATGCACGAAGCACTAGATCAGGTGACTCTGGCATGGGTGCAGTTCTTATTTGTGCAAAGCAAGGTCATGGAACCATAGGATGCTGGATCAATCAGACAGATTAATGAAGCACAACCTGCTGACATGAGGAATATTGACACCCCCATTACATCTTGGTCCTGCAGTCCTCCCCACTGCCTAAATAAATCAGGCCATAGAAAGGGGCGGGGCTAACTTCTGAGCCTAATCCTTTACATGACAAACTGAATGCAAGAAGAGCCCAACTATAATGGAAAGGTCCTCCTACGAAATAATAAACTCCAAAATGTCCCACAATTAAATATCGTGTTGGGAGTTGATGCTGCTTTATTTTAATATACGCTTCCAAGTATTTTACAATAATGTATTACGTGACACAAGGCTAATAGGCCTTTTCCACAGAATCTCATATATACTGTATATATCTCAGCTGTACAAAAGAGCTATCAAGGTTTTTGAGAGAAAGCCATATTCATACCACCACTGTACCATCCTTGAAAAACATAATTTCTTGAATTTTGACAATTTTAAGTCTTTTAAAAGTATGAGCTTTATTTATAAATGTTTACAGGGACTGGACCCCCCTCCCTCCCTTAGGGGAATTCATCCACAGAAAACACACTGGACGCTGCACTAGGTCGGACACCAGAGGAGACTGAAGTCCACCGTAGACGGACCGCTTTTGTTGAAATGTCTTTCATTAGCAGCTCATTCTGAATAGCCTCCCAACCTGAAATACGGATTGCCCCCACTTCAATAGCTTCAAAGGCAAAACCTCAAAGAATGGTTGAGAAACAACAGACGTGCAATCACGCTAATGCACTTTAAAACACAGGGGTCATCTCTCTTGCACTTTAGTATCTCTTGTAATCTCTTTTACTTATGTCGTGCTGCCTATATTGTAAATTGCATGTCCTAATACTTGCGTATGCTGCTCTTACTCTTTGCCTTTTTGCATAGCCCCGTATTTGTTTCTGCTTATGTTTATAAATGTCATTTTCTTATAATGTTTATGTGAGGGACTTGCGGATGGAAAGTAGCTCAAAGCAACATCCTGGCTTATTTACGCTTTGAATATTTATTGGTTAGTGTTCATTAATTGCATTGTCCCTGCCAAATAAA